AATAGGTAAAATGCAAACTCAATCAAAAGGAAAAACAGACTCTTCTATCTCATGTCATTGAGACCTTCTCTTGTTCATAACTTTCTTCAACAAACTCTCACGTCCTGGGAAAGGACTATGAATCTTTGGCTCAATTCGCTTCTCTACTTCTTCTAACCTTCCCAAAACACCCTTCTGATCACTCATATTAACCGTTTTGCCATCACCATTCTCCTTCTCTCTCCCAAGACTCTGCCTCATCCTCTCACGCCTCTCTCTTCTCCTCCACCCACTACCATCTTCCTCTCCTCCTCCTTAGCCTTCTTCTTGACTTCTCTTCTTCTTACCATATCTCTACTAGTCTCTGGACCACCTTTGCTTGTCCCCAAAAGCTCGTAGTTGACTTTGCTCCAACCAATCTTTACTTCAGGCAGAATGTTCTGCCATGCTAGTTGTGACGGTCTAATATGCTTAATTCTACTCACTTGTAGAACTACGATTCAGTGTCGTGGTGAACTCCGCCACCAGATATCAACGAAGTTTTCCTCTTTCAAACTATGAACAGCTCCTAAAGGAAACCTTTTGCTGCCCAACTCCTGGGCTTGGATTCAGTAAAGACAAAGTCGAGGGCACGTATAAGCCGGTTTATTTATATAATTCATTCAAATTTGACCTAGACAACATTACTACTTGTGAAGTTTTCGATTTTAGAACCAATGCTTGGAGGTACGTTATCCCTGCTTCTCTTATCGGATAAGCCCGTGTATTTTGATGGGTCACTTTATTGGTTAACCGAGTGTGAAGAAACCAAGGTGATATCTCTCGATCTTCACACTGAAACTTTCCAAGTCATATGTAAAGCTCCCTTTGCTCATGCACGTAACGGTTTCGACGTGTTCATGTCCATCCTCGATAACCGGCTCTGCGTATCACGGAGAAAACGGTCCACTCAAGTGATATGGTCATTAGATTCTTCAGGCGGCAGCAAGACATGGAAGAAAATGTGTTCGCTAGATCTCACAAATACTGTGTCTTGATTCGGGGAATGTCACCTCTTACCGATCGCCATTCTGGACATGAATAAGTTATTACTTCATATTCATGCACACATGCAACCATTGGTGATATATGATCTTCGTGCCAAATCTTATGATTTACTCTTCAAACCTACCAGACGCCTTGGTGCTGTTTATTATTTCGAAAGTTTATTCTCTGTTTTAGCAGATGCCTAAAAGTGCTGTTTGATCTTTGTTGTATTCTGCTTTCTTTTTAGTGTTGTTACCGGACAACTTGATTAACTAGAACTTACCAAACAGACACTAGTCTTTCGTGAAAATAGGTACACACAAAGTCCTTTTGATTGAATATTATATTCAAAGAGACCAAAAACTGAAAATTTAGTCATCTTTAGTTGGTAAAATATTCGATGCATTCTTGTATGCACACGTTTATCGTTGACTAGGTCCGATTCCTTAGAATAACGGCAAATTATTAAAATGGATGTTTCGTAGCAGTCAAGTAACATGCAACATCTGGCGCCCTGTTTGACGTGGACATTGTCAATAACTTCCCTATAAAATTTGTAAAACATCTTGACAAAACAAAGTTAATATTTTTAGATAAAGAACCATAAAATTTCGCAGAATTTTTAATTTTGTAACATATCGAATAATACAAAACGCTTTGTTCTCAGTATTTGATAAATTTGACAATTTCCAATAATAAAACAGCACAGTAACGCTCTGGTAAGTTCCAATAACTTATTTTAGAGAAACTGATTTTCTAACACTTGTGTTGTCAAATATGCTGCGGCGGCAACACCTTGTGACTATAAACATTGTCACGATGATGTTGAGGAAAGGTGCCATGAGTAAAAAGTTATGGTACGGGTTCACCGTTTTTTGGGATTCGTCAACCTCGTAGCGGATAATCATCTTCTGACCAGCGGCTGAGACCGTGACAGTCATTTCAACCTGAAAGAAAACAAATACGTATGTTTTTTATCTTATTAGTCAGTCAAAACTATAATTAGAAGAGAAAAAAAATTAATAAAAAGAATTAACCTCAATTTTTGGGACACCAACATCTACCCGCGAGCTCATTGATAAGGACTCTTCTTTCCGCCGATGAATTTGAACATCTAAAATAGTAAGGTCATATTTTAAATACATGTGCATAACTTTTTAAACTTGATACCATCACTGGGCTTTCAAGGCTCCAAGGGTTTATTATATGGTTTTGGTGTGGTATTGTCTAGTAGGTTTTGCTCATGAGTC